CATCTGCAAAGAGTGAGAGTTTGACTTCCTCTTTGCCGATTTGGATGCCTTTGATTTCTTTTTGTTGTCTGATTGCTGTGGCTAGGACTTCTAATACTACGTTGAATAGCAGTGGTGATAGTGGACATCCCCGCCACGTTCCTGACCTTAGGTGTACGTACTTCTTTTAAAATATCAGGCTCTTGCATTATTTGATTAGAAGAACAATTTACATAAGGTTCATTTTATTAATCTGTCAAAATTGAAAGTTGTATTTATTGATAAAGGAAATAAGGATGTTATTCTTAAAGGGAAATTCTATTTAGGAATGTTGATTTTATTATGAAGGAAAACCTGAGATGGTTTCCACTGTAGAAAAGTAAAAGAGATTGCAGTAAGTTCTTAATTAAATACATGAAGATTATTTGTAGGTGTCTCAACAGAAAATTATATTCTCAGGCCATGGGGATGCTCTGGTCTTTTGGGTGAAAAAAAGTCCGGTGTAATAAAAGGTGGGAAGGAACACTGAGTGTGATCCAATAATGAGACTGGCTTGCCCTGCAGGGTGGCAAGCTCTGGAGAGGTATGAGAGGTAATTGTGGGATGGGCCAGTAAGGCCCGGTTCTGGAGGCATTGAATGATCAGGAGGAGAACCTTGGACTCCAGAGGGTAAGGTGTCACTTTGATTCTTGAAGGAGAATATGACAAGAGTAGAGTGCTGGGAAGTCTGAACTAACCATAATGCAGGAATATTTGGGGGTGGGAGGAAGGATGAGGTAGAGTAGAGACAGACTGAGGCACAGAAAGACCAGTCAGTCAGTCATTTAAGCATGAAGTGAGGAGCGTCTGGTAGAAGGCTAGTATAGGAGGTGGGATGTAAGGGACAAATCCAGGAGGCATGCCCTAGGGTGAATGAAACATCAGGGCTTGGTAAAATCCAGGTTACAGGGGATGGAGGTATTGGGGTTTCTAGCAATCCAATAATAATTATTAATATTATTATATTAGCATCACTATCTAAAATTGACAAATCAAAAGGTATTCTTTAAAAATACAGAGAGAAGAAAAGTTAAGAGTTGACAGTATGATTAGAGGAGTGGAGAAATGACATCATCACTATCGTTCTGTGGTTCCTAATCCTAAAAGACTTAACTATGTCTCACGTGCAATTATTCAGCTGGTTTGTCCCAAAAGTTAACTGTATTCATCCATTCTTTCCCATAGGTGCTAAGCACTTCTCTCAGGTGTTAAACGCTGGGCATGACTCTGACATTACAGCAAGGAATAAGAGAGGTCTTCCAGTCTGAGAAGGGAGGCTGGAGGCAGACATGTAGTGTCTGTTTTATACTGTTAGTGCAGACGCGGCTCAACGTGGGAGGATGGGGAAGTTCAAGAAAGGCTTCTTTAAAAAAATTTTCAAAATGCCATGATATTATATGCAAATATAGGCCCAAACATGCCAAGTTTTATACAAAATATAGTTCTTGTCACTTCTCCACTCCTCTAATCATACTGTCAACTCTTACCTTTTCTTCTCTCTGTATTTTTAAAGAACACCTTTTGATTTATCAATTTTATACATCATCTACTGTCTTCCTAATGGTAGATAAGACTTGTAGTTCACTTACCCTACTTTCTCCGCTTCAGCCTCCCTAGATAATTGTCTCCCATTCGTTCTTTTATCTTTTTCCTCAAAATCCATATTCTGTTTTTTACTGTGACTATGTGAATATTGTGCACAACTGAACCAAGTGATGCTCTATGATTACCTTTCGTTATACAACTTCTTTATGTTTCTAGAGTTAAAGATTGTTTTTAAAATTATCTGCGTTATTGTATTTGAATCCAAGTTTTCCTATATCTAGGAAAGGCTTAGAGGTGACATGGGCTTGGTTTTATGTTATTTATTTATTTAAAATATTTTATTTATTTATTTGAGAGAGAGAGAGAGAACGAGTGGTGGGGGATGGAGGGGCGGGGGAGAGGGAGAAAGAGACTCCCCGCTAAGCAGGGAGCCCAAGGCAGGGCTCGATCCCAGGACCCTGGGATCATGACCCGAGCTGAAGGCAGACACTCAACCAGCTGAGCCACCCAGGTGCCCCATGAGCTTGGTTTTAAACATGGAATAATACTTTCCAAATCCAGGGAGGCATGGGAACATGCTGGGCATTTCTTCTCAGGGCCCTGCCCTTTATTCCCTACTTAGATGAACCCTCCAGTGGGCTGCACCTGTATACCTCATCAGACTCCATCAGCTGGCTTGGGAATTGGTGTCCTCTTCCTTCAAAAACTCTGAGTCCCAGGAAACCAGGCATTACCTACTACACACTTTTCTTATTCATCACAGTCAAGCTGCTGTTATTCCCCTGCCTGGACTCATGCATCATGGAAAGTGCTCAACAAATTATGATCTATGTGTGTGTGTGATGTCTGAAGACATACATACACATACATGCCAATACACATACTTTCAATTTTTCATTTTACTTTTTTTAAGTTTTAATTTTGATTCCAGTTAGTTAATGTACAGTATTATATTAGTTTCAGGTGTACAACATAGTGATTCAACACTTCCATACATCACCCGGTGCTCATCAGCACAAGTGCACTGCTTGATCCCCATCGCCTATTTAACCCATCCCCCCAACCACCTCCCCTCTAGTAACCATCAGTTTGTTCTCTAAAGTTAGGAGTTTGTTTCTTGGTTTGCCCCTCTCTCTCTTTTTTTTTTTTTACCTTTGATTGTTTTGTTTCTTAAATTCCACATATGAGTGAAATCATATGGTATTTGTCTTTCTCTAACTTAATTTTGGTTATCATTATACTCTCTAGCTTCATCCAGGTTGTTGCAAATGGCAAGATTTCATTATTGTTTTATGGCTCAGTAATATTCCATTGTATATTTATCTATTATTATTTATCCATTCATCAGTCAATGGAAACTTGGGCTGTTTCCATAATTTGACTATTGTAGACAATGCTGCTATAAACATTGGGGTGTATGTATCCCTTTGAATTATTTTGAAGTATTTTTGTATTCTTTGGGTAAATACCTAGTAGGGCAATTGCTGGATTGTAGGGTAGTTTTTTAAAATTTTGAGGAATCTCCATACTATTTTCCAGAGTGGCTGCACCTGTTTGCATTCCCACCAACAGTGTAAGAGGGTTCCCTTTTCTCCACAACCTCACCAAAACCTATTGTTTCTTGTGTTGTTGATTTCAGCCATTCTGACAGGTGTGAAGTGATATCTCCCTGTAGTTTTGATTCGCACTTCCCTGATAATAAGTGATGTTGAGCATTTTTTCATGTGTCTGTTGGACATCTGTATGTCTTCTTTGGAAAAATGTCTATTCATGTCTTTTGCCCATTCTTTAATTGGATTATTTGTTTTTTGGGGTGTTGAGTTGTATAATTACTTTATATATTTTGGGTACTAAGTCTTTATGGGTATGTCATTTCCAATGACAACCTCATTCTGTAGGTTGGCTTTTAGTTTTGTTGATGGTTTTCTTCATTGTGAAGAAGGTTTTTATTTTGATGTAGTCTCACTAGTTTATTTTTGCTTTTATTTCCCTTACCTCAGGAGATATACCTAGAAAGAAGCTGCTATGGCCGATGTCAAAGAAGTTACTGCCTGTGTTCTCTTCTAGGATTTTGATGGTTTCAGCCTTCGTATTTAGGCCTTTAATCCATTTTTGAATTTATTTTCATGTATGGTGTAAGAAAGTGGTCCAATTTTATTCTTTTATATGTTGCTGTCCAGTTTTCCCAACACCATTTGTTGAAGAGACAGTCTTTTTCCCATTAAATATTCTTTCTTTCTTTGTCAAAGATTAATTGACCATATAATTGTGGATTCATTTCTGGGTTTTCTATTCTGTTCTCTTGATCTATTGGTCTATTTTTGTGCCATTACCATACTATTTTAATTACTACAGCTTTGCAATATAACTTGAAGTCCAGAATTGTGATGGCTCCAGCTTTTCTTTTCTTTTTCAAGACTGCTTTGGCTATTGGGATCTTTTGTGGTTCCACACAAATTTTAATATTCTTTGTTCTAGTTGTGTGAAAAATGCTGTTTGTATTTTGATAAGGACTGCATTAAATGTGTAGATTGCTTGGGGTAGTATAGACATTTTAACAATATTTGTTCTTTCAATCCATGGGCATGAAATGTCTTTCCATTTCTTTGTGTCATCTTCAATTTTTTCATCAGTATTTTGTAGTTTTCAGAGTACAGGTCTTTCACCTCTTTGCTTGGGTTTATTCCTAGGTATCTTATTGTTTTTTTGTACAGTGAGATTGATTCCTTATTTTTTTTTTCTGCTGCTCCATTACTGGTATGTAGAAATGCAACAGATTTCTGTATGTTGAATTTGTATCCTGTGACTTTACTGAATTCGTTTACCTTTACCGAATTAGTTTTTTGGTGAGGTCTTTTGGGTTTTCTCTATACAGTATCATGGCATCTGCAAATAGTGAAAGTTTTACTTCTTCCTTGCTGATCTGGATGCTTTTTATTTCTTTTTGTTGTCTGATTCCTGTGGCTAGGAATTCTAGTACTATGTTGAATAAAAGCAGTGAGAGTGGATGTTCCTGCCTTGTTCCTGACCGGAGAGGAAAAGCTCTCAGCTTTTCCCCATTTAGGATGATATTGGCTATGGGTTTTTCAAATTTGGCCTTTATTAAGTTGAGATATGTTCCCTCTAAACCTCTGTTGAGGGTTTTTATCATGAATGGATGTTGTACTCTATCAAATGCTTTTTCTGCATCTATTGAAATGATCATATTTATAATTGTTAAATCTTCTTGTTGGATTGTCCCTTTTATTATGATATAGTGCCCTTCTTTGTCTCTTGTTACAGTCTTTATTTTAAAGTCTTATGCTTTCTTTTATTAATGTGATATATCACATTGATTGACTTGCAAATATTAAACTACTCTTGCAACCCAGGAATAAATCCCACTTGATCGTGGTGAATGATTTTTTAAATATATTGTTGGATTCAGTTTCCTAGCATTTTATTGAGGATTTTTTGAATCTATGTTCATCAGAGATAATGGCCTGCAGTTCTCTTTTCTTATGTTTTTATCTAGCTTTGATATCAGAGTAATGCTGGCATCATACAATGAATTTGGAAGTTTTCCTTTATTTTTGATTTTTTGGAATGGTTTTAGAAGAATAGGTATTAACTCTTCTTAAATGTTTGGTAGAATTCACCTGTGAAGCCATCTGGTCCTGGACTTTTGTTTGTTGGGAGTTTTTTGATTATTGATTCAATTTCTTTGCTGGTTATTGGTCTGTTCAACTTTTCTATTTCTTCCTGTTCTAGTTTTGGTAATTTATATGTTTCTAGGAATTTATCCATTTCTTCTGGGTTGTCCAATTTGTTGGCATATAGTTTTTCATAATATTCTGTTATGATTGTTTGTATTTCTGTGATTTTGGTTGTTAGTTCTCCTCTCTCATTTGTGATTTTATTTATTTGGGTCCTTTCTCTTTTCTTTTTATAAGTCTGGCTAGAGGTTTATCAATTTTATTGGTATTTTTTTCCAAAGAACCAGCTCCTGGTTTCATCGATCTGTTCTATTGTTTTGTTGTTGTTGTTCTTATTTCTATATCCTTTATCTCTGCTCTTATCTTTATTATTTCCTTACTTCTGCTGGCTTTAGGTTTTGTTTGTTGCTCTTTTTCTAGCTCCTTTAGGTGTAAGGTTAGGTTGTTTTATTTGAGATTTTTACTGCTTCTTGAGGTAGGCTTATGTTGCTATATACTTCCCTCTTAGGACCAATTTTGCTGCATCCCAAAGGTTTTGGACTCTTCTGTTTTCATTTTCATTTGTTTCCATGTACTCTTTTATTTCCTCTTTTATTTCCTGGTTGACCCACTCATTGTTTAGTAGCATATTATTTAACTTCCATGTATTTGTGGGCTTTCCAGATTTTTTCTTGTGGTTGACTTCTAGCTTCATAGTGTTGTGGTTAGAAAAGGAGCATGATCTGACTTCAATCTTCTTATATTTGTTGAGGTCTATTTTGTGGCCTAATATGTGATCTATTCCAGAAAATGTTTCATGTGCACTTGAAAAGAATGTGTATTCTGCTGTTTTTGGATGGAATGTTCTGAATAGATCTGTTAAGTCCATCCGGTCCAGTGTGTCATTCAAAGCCATTGTCTCCTTGTTGATTTTCTGTTTAGGTGATCTTCCCATTGATGTAAGTAGGTTGTTAAAGTCCCCTACTATTACTGTATTATCAGTTAGTTCCTTTATGTTTGTTATTAATTGTTTTATATATTTGGGTGCTCCCATGTCGGGTGCATAAATATTTATAATTGTTAGATCTTCTTGGACTGTCCTTATTATGACATAGTGCCCTTTTTTGTCTCTTATTACAGTCTTTGTTTTAAAGTCTAGTTTGTCTGCTAGAAGTATTACTACTCCAGCTTTCTTTTGATATCCATTTAAATGATAAATGTTTCTCTATTCTCCCTTTCAATGTGCAGGTGTCTTTAGGTCTAAAATAAGTCTCTTGTAGGTAGCATATTGATAGGTGTGTGTGTGTTTTAATCCATTCTGTCACTGTATGTCTTTTGATTGGAGCATTTAGTCCATTTACATTCAAAGTAATTATTGATTGATATGTGTTTATATCATTTTATTACTTGTTTTGTGGTTGTTCCTGGAGATTTTCTCTGATCCTTTCTTTACTTTCTCTCTTTCATGTTTTGCTGATTCTCTTCAGTGATATATTTGGATTTCTTTCTCTTTATTCTTTGCATGTTTATTAGTGGTTTTTGATACATGGTTACCATTAGGTTTGTATATAACCTTTTCTGCATATAGCAGTCTATATTAATGATGGTCATTTAAGTATGGACCCATTCTTTTCTTCTCACATTTTAGGTATATGTTATATTTTATATCCTTTTTTTGAGTTCCTTGGCTGATTTTTTATAGAAATAATTAATTTTTACTGCTTTTGTGTTTCCTACCTTTATACTGTCAACTTTTGGTATCTCCTTTCTAGTCAAAGAGTCCCCTTTAATATTTCTCACAGGGCTGGTTTAGTGGTCACAAACTCCTTTAGTTTTTGTTTGTCTGGGAAACTCTTTATCTCTCTTTCTATTCTGAATGATAGCCTTGCTGGATAGAGTATTCTTGGTTGCAGATTTTTCCCACTCAGCACTTTGAATACATCATGACACTTCCTTCTGGCTTGTGAAGTTTCTATAGAAAAATTTCCTGCTTGCCTTGTGGGTTTTCCCTGGTAAGTTAATGACTTCTTTTGTCTTGCTGCTTTTAAGATTCTTTTCTTTATCATTATATTTTGCAAGTTTAATTATAATATGTCATGGTGTGGGGCTGCTTTTGTTGATTTTGATGGGAATTCTCTGTGGTTCCTGGATCTGGATATCTGTTTCCTTCCCCAGATTAGGAAAGTTTTCAGATATTATTTCTTCAAATAAATTTTCTGCCCCTCTTTCTCTCTCTCCTTCTTCTGGGAATCCTATAATACAAATCTTATTATATCTGATGGAGTCACTGAGTTCCATAAGTCTGTTCTAGTTTTGTGTAATTATTTTTTCTCTCTCTTGTTCAGCTTGATTACTTTCCATTACT